AGACAGATCAGTGCTCCAAGCTATAAACCATTGAGCCTGCTTGCGTGCGTGCGTGCGTGCGTGCGTGCGTGCGTGCGTGCGTGCGTGCGTGCGTGTGTGTGTGTGTGTGTGTGTGTGTGTGTGTGTGTGTGTGTGTTGGGGGATGACCGTGCCATAGCAATGTCACAGAAAAAGGAAACCAATACATCATTCCACAGTGTTTCCACAAGAACAGCATGACTTAAAACAGGTACGACGGGCCAGCCAGCAAGAAAGCTGGGCAGGTAGAGGTGTCTGCCTTGAAGCCTGACAACCTGAGTTCCATCCCTCACCCCATGGTGGAAGGTGTCCTCTGACTTCCACATGAGCACTGCTGCAGAGAGACCCCGCCCTACTAAATTAAAAATCAAACGTGTACAGGTGCTTACAGGGTGCCTACACATGACAAGCAGTATGGGTGCCATCTCATTCACCGGAACAATTTATAAAGAGGCCGAGGTCTCCTGCTCCTGGTTCCTCAGGCCGGAGTAGCCAGCCTTCCTTCCACATCACCCCAGGAGAGTGGGGACACAGCAGGGACACAGCAGGGCCGCACTGAAGCCCTTTGTCCTCTGACAAAAGCACCAATAGCAACAAGAGCAGAGGTTCTCAACCTTCCTGACACTGCGACCCCTTTTACAGTTCCTCAGGCTGTGCTGACCCCAACCGCAAAATTATTATTATTAGTAGTAGTAGTAGAAGTAGTATTTGGTTTTGGTTTTTCGAGATGGGGTTTCTCTGTGTACCTTTGTAGACCAGGCTGGCCTTGAACTCAGAGATCCACCTGACTCTGCCTCCCAAGTGCTGGGATTAAAGGCATGCGCCACCACTGCCTAGCACCATAAGACTATTTTCATTGCTACTTCATAACTGTAATTTTGCTACTGTTATGTATTGTAATATAAATACCTGTGTTTTCTGATGATCTTAGGTGACCCCTGTGAAAGGGTTTGACCCCAAGGGACCAAAACCCACAGGATGAGAACCACTGATCTTGAGGCTTCACCCTCAAGACATCATTTAATTCCATGGCCCTCAAAACCCCCTGTTCTAGGTCCCATGCATCACAACTCCAGGTTAACTATCCCACACAGGAGCCAGGCACACAAACTTACTTGGGATGCCAGCACTAGGAAGGCTGAGGCTGGAGAAACACTCAAGTTCAAGGCCAGCCTGGTCTACAAATGAGTTCCAGGGCAGCAAGAGAAATCCTGGTATAATCCACCCCCCAAAAATAAATTTGAACAAGAAAGACGGCTCAGTAGTTAAGGTGCTAGTCACCAAGGCTGATGAGGACTTTGATCCCAGCTCCCTCAAGCTGTCCCTGACCTCCACATGGGTACCATGGCATATGTGCACACACCCTACCACCCAAATACATGCATAAAGGTAGTCATAAAACCTTTGTTTGCTTTAAAGAGCCATCTAGGGCCCGTAAATAGTACTTTTGTGAGGTATTTCCACAGAGGATGACGTGGGCAGAGGAGGTGCAGAATCACCCTTAATGGGGGCTCCCCCTCCAAAGGGCAACCCAGATCTGAAGAAGTCAGGACGCAGCCTGTGCCTGCCTTAACTCCCTGCTTTCGCAGCAGCTCTCTCTGCCCACACCTGGCCCCCAACATCAGACCCAGTTCTTTATTCTAGGGAATTCCCAACCTTTAGTCCAGAGAGGGAATGCTGAGGAGTCCTGGTCCTTAGCCCCTACATTGTGCAGGCAGCCCGGATCCCATAAACCAACCTAATAAATCCCTTGTAGAACATGTGTGTGTGTGTACATACATATGTGTATATGTGTTATGATAAAGTGTGTGTGGAACCTTGGCAGACTCCATGGCAGGCCAGGGTGATGGAGACCGGGTACAAACATGCCAGGCAGACAGAGTTTAGTAAGAAGTTTTATTAGAAAGGGAAGGAGTGGGGGAGTAAAGAGAAGAAAGAGGAGAGAGAGGGGGAGGGAAAGAGAGAGAAGGAGAGAGAGAGAGAGACAGAGACAGAGGACAGAGGACAGAGACAGAGGACACAGGAGAAGAGGCAGCCAGGAAAAGTCCTGTCTGCCCCAGGAGAACAGTGGGAAAGAGGGTAGGAAAGAGAGCGTAAGTGGACAAGGGTCTGTCTTTTAAAGGGTCCTTTGCACCTGCGTGCAGGTGGTAGTCATGGAACCCCGGGCTGATCAGGGTACCGCCTGAGAGCATTCTACCAGGTGACGGGCAGACCAGCATAATGCCTGCATCCTTACAGTATGCATATTCTATTCTATTGACCCTGCTCCTCTGAGAGCCCTGCCTCACACACAGCATGGCCACACCTCTCCTCTCCCTATGTGCTTCCGCCAGCCACTGTTCCTGTGCCGTGGTTCCCATGAGAAATCACAGTTGCTGTTCCCTCCCCTTAGGAATAAACAATAGCCCCACATCACGTCACCGCTAAAGCGATACCGAGTGACTTTGGAGACAGGTTCCTTGCACTCATCAGGAACCAGGCCACCCTACTGTGAGAAAGCCCAAGCCATCTGTGGAGAGGAACCAAGAGCCAGGACAGACTCACCAGCGTTGTGGTGGGTCGATGAGTCACCTGGAAGGGCCACCTTGGATGCCAACCTTCCAGCCCCGCGTGACATGTCTCAGTTGTAGTCTTATGAAACAGCGATGAGCTGTGTCTTTGAGCTCTGCCCAGGTTGCAGATTTGTGACCACAACAGATGCTGTTTTGTCCCAATGACCAGCAATGACCAGAACAGAAGGCACAGAGGAAGGGGAAAGCTGGCCATAGGTCTGGGTTGGAACGAAGGCTGGGGGAGGCTGAAGTCTGCTCTCTTTGGGGACAGAAGGAAGCCTTTGGAGGTTGCTTAGCAGGGTGCAGGCAGATCAGAGAGTAAACTGGCAGCAGAATGAAGAGCAGGGGTATAGGGGAAGCAAAGACCGAGCATCCTAGCCTTCTGCCATCATGGCAAACTGAGCAGAACCTAGGCAGGCCAGGCTGGCCTGGACCCTGGTGAAAATGTACCAGGCAGGACGAGAGAAATCAACACAAATCAATACCATGCAAAGGCATCCATGAGAGAGGCATCAGAGTTTGAGCTGGGGCAGGGGGGCAGGGAGAGAGGTGAGCCGAGCAGAGGGAGACAACACAGTGGTGTGGTGGTGAGGCCTTCCTGCTTGAGGCTCCATGTGCAGAATGCAGCTTGGCTCTGGCTGTTCAACCCCTAGTCTTTTGGTACTTGCAAATGTATGAGGTTTCTAGATAACAATACTTGGTTTGTTAAAAACCAACGCTATTGTCATCAAGTATTAAGAGTTGTACTTTAGGTCTGGAGAGATAGCTCAGAGGTTAAGAGCACTGGCTGCTCTTCCAGAGGTCCTGAGTTCAATCCCCAGTAACCACATGGTGGCTCACAACCATCTGTAATGAGATCTGATGCCCCCTTCTGGCCTGCAGGCATACATGGAAGCAGAGTGTTGTATACATAATAAATAAAAATAAAATCTTAACAAAAAGAGTTGTACTTTATTTTCTAAATTAGTAAACTAACTTAAATTTTTTATTTACTTTTTATTACTTTACTGCTTTATTCATTTTGAGACAGTCTTACTGTGTATCCTTGGCTAGCCTGGAGTTTGCTATGTGGACCAAGCTAGCCTCTGCCCAACTCCCACAAGTGCTGGGAGTAAAGGCATGTGCCACTACACTCAGCTCATTTAGTGTGTGTGTGTGTGTGTGTGTGTGTGTGTGTGTGTGTGTGTATGCACTAGTGTCAGTTCTCTTTTTACACTATGTGGGTCCTGAAAATCTAACTCGGGTCATCAAACTGGGTGGGGTGGCAAGTGCCTTCACCAGCCCACAAGCAATTTTCAGAACATTGGTGTTATTGCTGTAGTCTGAATGTTGGAGTTGCTTCAAAATCATGTTGGAGCCTAAATATTCAATGTGGTGAGATTTGACCATAGTCATTACTATTGTATGGCTGTGACCAAATACCTGACACAGTTGAAGGAAGGTCAGCTTGGGCTCTAAGTGACCTGGGACTCACTTGGGCTGGGTTCTACATACATCCTCTTGTAGTAACACCTAGGAAGCCTTGCTCCCTTACCTGTATGTCCTAGGCATACACCCATCTCCAAGCAATGCACCTGCCAACCTCAGACCCCACATGCATCAGGCTACACATACACCCCTCTCTGAACAATGGGTCAGGTTTTCTCTCACCTCAATGACCACCAAACTTGGATATTTCCCACTACATCTTGGTTCAAGGGTAGAAGGGCCAATTCCTGAGTTACTTTTGGGTACATGTGCCCCCCCCAAAAAAACCAAAACTATACCAAGTGAGCTTTTAGAGAAAACCTGTGTTGCCTTTTTATGTTTATACATAATTATGCATGCACATGATTAAAATCAGATGCATAATCAGACAGAAACATTGCATATTAGAAAATGATTATATGACCTAAACTGCCAAACAAAACAGATATCTAGGGCTAGGGAGATGGCTCAGTGATTAAGAGTACTGCTGCTCTTGGAGGAGACAAGTTAGGTTCAGCCCATTTGGTGGCTCACAATCACCTGTAACTCCAGTTCCAGGGGATCCAACGCCCTCTTCTGGCCTCTGCGGGTACTACTTACCTGTGGCATTGAGACATACACTCAGGTATACACACATACCCATAAAGTAAGTATTAAAAAGAAATCAGAAACCACCCTCACAATGCTCCTCAGTAAGTCACCCTAATGCTCATTCTGCCGCACTCCCAGAAAGGAAGCCAGAATCTCTTGTGAGTGTCTTCACCAACAGTGGGCGGTCCTTGCAATGTGTTCTCATCTTCCTTTAAATAACACTCCCTGGCTGCTTCGCAAGCTCTGTGGGCTGAGGCCTAGAGTGTGGACACACTGTGCTCTCAGCCTTGACTGCCTGTGATGCCCTCCCTGCCCCTCACCCTGGCAAGGTAGACACCGCCCCCCCAAACCTAAGAAGCAGGACTCCACATGTCACAAAGGAGTTTTATTTATAAATCTCTCTCAGGATGTGGGTTCTGTACCTGTAAAACAAATTGTAAAAAACAGAGGCCCTGCACTGGAGAGAAGTCCTTGTGTGCTGTGACCTTGAGGGCCAGGGTCCATGGTCACAGTGGCCGTAGGGCAGGGCCATCTCCTCTTCACCAAGCTGGGGTCTGGGGCGCTGGTGAGAACATGGAGGCGACAGGTGTCTGCTTCACTGTGGCCAGAGCCCGGCTGTGTTTCTCTGGCCACTCTTGTCTTGGCCCAGGGCCCGTTCACTGTCCTCATCCAGCTGCTCAGGTAGCCATGTCCCCAACACCTGAGGCAAGGGGCAGTGAGGCAGGGAGCAGCCATGGAGGTGGGTCCCACCAGTCCGTGACTTCTCAGGCTTCAGAATCCAACTCGCTGTCGTCTTGGTAAGACCCTGGCTCATCTGTCCAGGCTAGGAGACAGAGGGGTCAGCATCAGGGAGAACACACCTCAACAGTTCCTTGGTCAGCCTCCCTAGGCCACCACCCCAGGACCCCACAACCTAGGCTGAGAAGGATCCCCCGTGACTCAGGTCCCCCACCACCTAGGCCTTCCTAGGAACTGGGGGAGATCAGAATCTCCTTGGGTTTCAGATCTGAAGGATGTTTCAGAGCTGGGGATCTTCTCAGGGTTCCTGGGGTGTGTAACAAGCGTTCCCAATTCACAGGCCCTGGTCCAGTCTAGTGATGTTTCTCTTAGTAGCATCAATAGCACAGCCATGTGCAGGGCCTGAGGTACTCAAAAGACTCCTCTCTCCTGTCTTCCCTGCACAGAGGACGCCACTGAGGCTTAGGGAGACTCACAGTAGCACATCTAAGGGGCAGGTGGAATTCTGGAAGTATGGTGTGGGTTTGAGAAATTGTGTGGGCCACCCATCTGGACCCAGGCATCCCACAGTTGTCTATACCTAAAAGGAACTTCTTCCGAGGTTCAGAGGCCTCCTAAGAACTCAGTGTTAGCCTGAAATGCTACCTCACAATTTTGGGGGGACATAGCTGCTGACCTTGGGAGCATTACAGAAGGGGATACTGGAAGTGCCCTGTGACAAAGCTGAGGACTGGGTTTCTGCTGTCCTCTCTGGTCTGCCTGGACATGAGCCGGGAGGCAGAGAAGCAATGGGCAGGAGCCTGGCTCCTCTTCTGCTTTGCTGTGGGTCCTCAAGTGAGTTGCTGTCCTTCCCTGCATCCCTTCCTTGCCCATTCTTTAAAGCAGAGCTACAAATCGTACCTACAGCCCACAGTGATGGAGTAAGGAATAACTGAGGTGTGCCTCATCATGTAGCCTGGTGAGGGGCTCTGGGAAGGTCACAAAGGAGGGTGAGTACCGTGGTTTGGCTGGGCCTGTATGCTGGAAGCTTGACCCTCGGTGTGGCAGTTTCCTGAAGAGGACAGTCTGATTTGCTGATAAGGTACCGGTATGGCTGCCCTCTGCAGGGATCTGGGGTGGTTGTCTGCCTTTCTGCCAACTCCTACCTCTCCCTGGGACCTATTCCTTTTGGGCCTGCTCTGCCATGATAACACCTACTGCTATGGGACTCAATAGTTTCTATATCAACTGTTCATCAGCCGCTGTGAGCCTCAGTTTGCTCGTCTGTAGCCGAGGGGTGAGACCTATGCTAAGTCTGTTCCTGAGCACCTATGAGAAAATGGCCGGTTTCCCCAGTATGGGCCGTCAGCCACAAGCATCCCCCCCACCACCAACCTTCTTTTCCCCTTTGGTGTTGCAGGCAGATGGACAGAACCCAGGGCCTCAGGAGCTCCATCACTGAGCGCAGGCAACCCCCTTTTAATACTTATTTCGAGACAGGGGCTGGCTAAGTTGCCAGGCTGGCCTTGGGCTTTCTTTGAAGCTTAGATGGCCTAGAACTTGTGATCTTTCTGCCTTCGCTTCCCCAATTGTGGACCTGTCTGGCCAGGCCTGGCTCAATGCATCTCCATCCAGTGCACAAGAGAGCAGTCTCTTCTGCCAGCTTCAAGGGCATCAGCAGGAGACAGTTGAGAAAGCAGTCTGCACCCCACCCAGTATGTTACCTGGTCGGGAACATTCCCTGTCTTCCCTCCCCTCACATCTGGAAGACCCAGGGACAGTCACAGCCTGGCATGGGGCTGTTTCCCAGTCTATCCTGTTGTCTGAGCTGTTGTAGTCAGCACCTTGGAAGACAGTGCACCCTGCTGTTGGCAGGGACGGAGCATCTTTCTATTCCAGTGAGTGGCTAAGATGGGGCATGGGGGCCAGCCCAGACCAATCCATCATCCTCCCAGCTGCCAGCAAGGACCGCTCAGACAATTGCCAGACAAGCTACGTCTAGCTAGGGCTGGCATCATGACAAAAGGCCCAGGGTGGAGTGACCACAGAGATGGGAACCAGGTCAGGCCATGGCACAGAAGGGGTCCTGGGGGCAGTCTCTCGAATAGTGGTGTTGCCTCACCTGGTCGCTTGAAGTCTCTGGCCAGCCCCATGCCCGTCGGGGTTGGGGGTGTAATGATGATGTTGGGGACTCTCAGGTGCTTGTCGTTTAGCACAGGTGCCTCCTCATGGTGGTTGTTGTTGCTGCTGCTGCTGCTGCTGCTGCTGACACACATCTTAAAGCCTGGGGGGTACAGGACAAGACAGAGAGAGCATCAGACCCTCTGTCGGTGTCTGCCAGTCACTCAGTCCCTTTGCCTCACTCTGAGGGTGCCTCTGCTCCACTGCACAGACAGGGAAACTGAGGCTCGGGAAAGGAAAATGCACCCCCCTTGCACAGCTCCGTGAGGGCTCTGAGCTGTCTGTCCCCAGAGATATGAGTGGGGGTAGTGAGCTCCAGAGATATGAGTGGGGGTAGTAAGCTCCAGAGATATGAGTGGGGGTAGTGAGTGAGCTCCAGAGATATGAGTGGGGGTAGTAAGCTCCAGAGATATGAGTGGGGGTAGTGAGTGAGCTCCAGAGATATGAGTGGGGGTAGTGAGCTCCAGAGATATGAGTGGGGGTAGTGAGCTCCAGAGATATGAGTGGGGGTAGTGAGTGAGCTCCAGAGATATGAGTGGGGGTAGTGAGCTCCAGAGATATGAGTGGGGGTAGTGAGTGAGCTCCAGAGATATGAGTGGGGGTAGTGAGCTCCAGAGATATGAGTGGGGGTAGTGAGCTCCAGAGATATGAGTGGGGGTAGTGAGCTCCAGAGATATGAGTGGGGGTAGTGAGCTCCAGAGATATGAGTGGGGGTAGTGAGCTCCAGAGATATGAGTGGGGGTAGTGAGCTCCAGAGATATGAGTGGGGGTAGTGAGTGAGCTCCAGAGATATGAGTGGGGGTAGTGAGTGAGCTCCAGAGATATGAGTGGGGGTAGTGAGTGAGCTCCAGAGATATGAGTGGGGGTAGTGAGCTCCAGAGATATGAGTGGGGGTAGTGGCCTTTGAGTGGCATCTTCTCAGGTATGAGCAACATTTCCCAAAGTCCATCCCCTGGGACACCTGGCCTTCTGAGATGCTCCAGGAAGGGGCATTATAGCCACTGAGTTGGGAATCATTTATTCTCCTGCTGGGCACTCACAGCTCTGCCAGCCAAAGGCTCTGAAAAGTCCTGCATGAGGACAAGATTTGGGTTTCCTGCTTGTTTGTCTTTTTTTCATTTTTGAGGCAAGATCTCATTCTAGCCCAGGGTAAGGCTAAACAGGAACTTGCTCAGAAATCAGGCTGTGTACAAATGCAAGGTGATCCTCTTACCCCAACCTTCCCAGAGCTGGAATTACAGGAATGGGCCACCACACACAGCATGAAAAGGCTTTCTCCTTTTAAGTTTTAGGTTTATTTATTCTATCTTATATGTTTGAAAGTCTGAATAAATGTCTGTGAACCAAGTGCCCGGTGCCCATGGAGACCAGAAGAGGGTGTTGGATCCCCTGAAACTGGAGATACAGATGGTTGTGAGGTGCCATGAAGGTGCTGGGTACCAAACTCGGGTCCTCTGAAAGAGCATCAGATGCTCTCAACCATTAAGCCATCTCTCCAGCCCTAGTGGAAAGAGTTTTAATTTGACCTAATCCCAAGGCTTCAAAAACTGAAGATGACCTCAGAGTCCCATCTGGAGGAACACCTGTTCCCATCTAGGACCAAGAGTCATGAAGTCTTCAGCCCCTTCACACCTTTGCTGGTCCCCTGCCTGAAATGCACTTTCTTCCTTTATCAGAGGAATGAGCTCCTATTCATCCCTCAAAATCCAGCATAGCATGTTCATCTTTGGCGAAGATGGCTCAGGCCATCTCATGACCTCTTTGACCTGTCTGTGCTTGCTTAGTCACGGGCACTGAGAGGACAGACAGCTCTTACCTCTGCTTTCGCTGAGGGTACCTAGAATAGCCATCATTTCTTTATTGGTCCCCCTGAGTCCAGCATGGAGTCTGGAGCAGAGCAAGTGACAGAGTTTTTTTTTTTTTTTTTTTTTTTTGGTTTTTCGAGACAGGGTTTCTCTGTGGCTTTGGAGGCTGTCCTGGAACTAACTCTTGTAGACCAGGCTGGCCTTGAACTCACAGAGATCCGCCTGCCTCTGCCTCCCAAGTGCTGGGATTAAGGCGTGCGCCACCAATGCCCGGCAAGTGACAGAGTTTTAAATTTTACATTAAGTAATCAAAACCTTCAGCAACCTTTGAGCTTGGGTCCTGTCTTCACCCCAAGAACACCAGACTTGGGGGCTGCAGGAAATGAAGGCCCGAGTGAATGTATATTGTTGACACGGGCACAGCCATGTCAAGGACCCCAGTACCTCAGATCCACAGGAATGGCAAAGCCTCTCTGGATCTGAGAAGGGATGTTGATAGCAGCTTCCTTCTCCCAGATGTTTACAGTCCAGATGTTGCTCTCCTACAGAGACCTCACCAAGACTAGCTAACCCCCTTCCTTACGTTGCCCATAGAAAAGTGCAACCAGTTTCTCAGCTGCAGTTATATAGTAGCTGTCCCCATCAGAGCAAGCACAGACACCTGCTTCCAGCTTTCCTGTCTGTGTCTGTCCTTCCTTTATTACCCCTTGGCCCCAGTCAGCCTTGAAGGACCAAACCATGCAGAATGAGACAGGAAAATTACCTGAATGACTGTCTCTACCACTTTCAGGTAAGCCCTGGCCACTGTCAGGATGTCCCCAAGCTGTGGTGCTTCAATCCTAGTGGGGAGGGGACTCAGGGACTCGTTCTAAGGAACAGAATGGGTAGAAGTAACAATGCTTGGCCTGCCTTGGGCCACTGGCTGGGTGGGAGGTCAAACACTGGCCCAGGAGGACATCAAATGCACCAGAGCCTGAAGACCATGCTTCCTGTACCAGGCATGGTGGAGCGCACCTGTGATCCCAGCACTCAGAGGTGGAAGGACCAAGAGTCCAAGGCTAGCCAGGAGACACAGTATGACTACCTTAAGAAACAAAAACTAGATGGAGTCGGGCAGTGGTGGCCCATGCCTTTAACCCCAGCAGAGGCAGGCAGATCTCTGTGAGTTCAAGGCTGGCCTGGTCTACAGAGTGAGTTCCAGGACAACCTCCAAAGCAATGTAGAGAAATCTTGTCTCGGAAAAAAAAAAAAGGGAGAAAAAAAGAAAAGACTAGCTGGGTGGTGGAGGTGGCACATGCTTTTAATCCCAGCAATCAGAAGCAGAGGCAGGTAGATCTCTGTGACAGCCAAAACACAAAAAAAGGGTGGGAGAGGTGGCTCAGCAGTTTAACACTGGCTGCTCTTCTGGAGGACCTGGGTTCAATTCCCAGGACTCACATGGCATCCCTCAATTGTCTGTAACTCCAGCTTCAGGATATCCAACACCCTCACACAGGCATACATGCAGGCAAAACACCAATGCACATGTAACAAATAAAGAAATAACTTTAAAAGAAAAAGAAAACAACAACAAAAATATACATACACAAGTTTAGCCCTGCCTCAAAACAAAACAAAAAAACAAACAACACAACAACAACAACAACCACCAAACAGCCAGGCGTTGGTGGCGCATGCCTTTAATCCCAGCACTCGGGAGGCAGAGGCAGGCGGATCTCTGTGAGTTCGAGACCAGCCTGGACTACCAAGCCAGTTCCAGGACAGCCTCCAAAGCCACAGAGAAACCCTGTCTCGAAAAAACCAAAACCAAAACAAAACAAAACAAAAAACAAAAAAACCAAACAAACAAAAATTAAAAGGAATTATTGCTGGGAGCTTTGACCCCAGCAGGTCAGGGCCCCTGGAGTACGTGGCAGGATGGAGGCAGGTGACCTGCATGCAGGCCTGTGAATCCCCAGATGTCTAAGCTGTGACTGACTAGCTGAGATGTACGTCTCCCTTCAAGGCTGAAAGCACAAAGAGCCCCTGAGACACCTGCTGGCCTCAGAGAAAAGGCACCTAGCATCTCCATATTACTGCCCTCCGCCTGCAGGGATCCAGGATTCCAGGAAGGGCAGAGCCTGTAAACATGTCACCGCGTGGTAAGGCCACACCCAAGCCCAGTCCAAGTAACCATGGAGAACTGAACAAGACCAGTCAAGAATCACTTTGATCCTGGCTGATGAACCTTACCCCCCTCCTGTCCCCCCCCATGACTATTTTGATTAAAACTTGGTCCTGTCTTCTTTTGGTTTGAGACAGGCTCTTCTATGTATCCCAGGCTGTTTTCAAACTCCCTGCTTCAGCCTCCTCAGTGCTGGGGTTGCAGTCATGAGCTCCCACAACCTCTCAATATATAGATCTTTCAGTGACACGATCCAACCCGCAAAGGAACAGGACACAAAGACACAGAGGTGCTTCCCTGGGAAGGACACTGAGTGTCATTTCATGTCAGGACCGCACATTCACAGTGTGTGTGCACTGTCACATGCCAGGGCCACGGAGGGGTCAGCACCATCTGTGACACCACAGCTGGGATGGTGAGGTGTTCATGCCTGTGGCCAAGGAGGGGTCAGCACCATCTGTGACGCCACAGCTGGGATGGTGAGGTGTTCATGCCTGTGGCCAAGTGTGACATGTCTTGGTGAGACCCATTGGTCCTTCTAGCAACCCAGCCACACCCAAGGGGGGTTGGGGAGCAGCTGGCATGGCAGGGTGGGTGGCCTGACACATGGGGGTGGGGCTGGGATTGGCACCTGCTTGCATCACACAGGAGGGACACTTAGCCACCAGTACCTTGAGTAACCACTTAAGTCTCTCCCAGGAACCTCCAGACAATTGGCTGAGGATCCTGACAGTTTGGAAGGCAGTGAACAGAAGCCACCACCAGTGAAATCAAAATCCCCGTAAGTTGCAAACCCCTGTGGAGAAGTCCTGCCTCTCATGTGATCCAAATTCAGGTCGCTCCTCCCTGCAGGCTTCCAAGAAGGAGCCCAGCGGCAGATGACCTCCCCGCTGGTGCTCCAGCCTGGCTCAGTGAAGCCTTCTCTCTGCCTGAGGCAGAGTGAGACCTCCACTCTTTGTCACCTGTGGTTTAGCTTTGACTCCTCAAAGCATCCCTTTCTCTATTGACAAAATCCAAAGCCAAACCCACCCATCTCTGTTGGGAAGTAGTCACCATGGTGACTGGTGCATGGCTAGCATCTCCCTCTCCCCTTGCACATCCTACTTTCACCCCTTCTCATGCTGGGACCTGACA